AGTAAAAAAACAAAAAAGTGAAATTAATAAAAAAATTGATGAAAATCGTTGGAAAAATATGTGCTGTGTACTAATGGGAAATGAAAATAGTGAAAATGCGAGAAGAATAGCTGAATCTGGTAGTGAGAGTGTAAATGGTGAGAATAGAATTGTAGAATTGGAGCCGAAGACGCTTGAATCCAAGCTAAAATATTGGTTCCAGGAATTTACACCTTCGTTTCGTTGTTGCGCGAGCTTATTAAATATTTTAAAAAGCGAAAACCTGAATGTGCCTCTAAGTGTTGGGTCTTTGTTAGATCACCCCGAAAAATGTGTAGCGCCCACCGCTTCCATATTGGCGTAAAAATACAATTGAAAAAATTAGCAAATGAAATTCTTCAGGAAAATCCAACTGCAGTTCAATTACATATAGGAATTGACGGTTTACCCTTGTTTAAGAGCTCGCAGGTTACTTTGTGGCCAATTTTGGGTCGAGTTGCCAATATTAGGTGTAAAACAGTGTTTTTAATTGGATGCTACGTTGGTAAAAAGAAGCCTTATAATATTGAAGTTTACCTTCAGGATTTTGTAGAGGAAATCAAGGGACTATCGGTTGATGGTATTTCACTCAACAATGTAAGCTATAAAGTTGTAATTCGAGGGAATTTCTGCATCCAAAAGACTTTTTCGCAACACCTGTTCCTTCCTGGGACCTTGGAATCAGTGTCGTAAGTACTGCAAGCTGTGGCCCAGAAGATATATATAATATACAAGATATTCACTGCAAATTAGTAGGTCTACCGTTTAAAGAAAATATTATTTTGTTACCATTAGTGCACAGCTACATATAATTCTTATAAACATATTTCAAATTTCCTGCAAGAGTTTTTGATTATGACACTCTTGCAACAAATGTGCGATATATATAATACATATATATTATTAAAAATTAATGAATATAACTTTAAATAAATTGAGATTGACTGATTGATATTACAAGCAAACGCATAATATGGCTGAAATTAAAAAATTGACGAAATAATTTGCTGAGTTACAAGGTAAGAACGTTTTTGATATTTAAATTCTTATCATATCTACATATCAATACCCAATATCGGCAATTCTCACAAAAACTACTTTGTGATGTTAGAAGACATTTGGTACTTACCTGTCATCACTGGTGTTAATTCTGACTTTGCAATTTAATTTGTTAGAAGTGCAGATAGAGGGTATTGAATATAAGCCCTCGATATGTATGTGTGTACATATACTTATTTTACAATAATTTCAGAATCACTATTGGAACAAACCAGGCAAATACAGTCATGGAGAAAAACTTTATGTTGGAAAACTTAAACTCGGAAATAGCTGCAATGAAAGGTATCTATCATAATAAACGAAATGTAAGAACATATCCACTCACTACAGCTTAAGTCGATAGTTTGACTTTAATGTAATGTTCCACATCCACACACACACACCCCACACAAATAACAGAAATAAGTTATGTCTTTAACTCAATATGCTGTTTATTTTACAGATTCCAATAAAAACGACATGGAGGTACTGAAAAACGTCTTATCTGAGCAAGTCGTACTATTAAAAAAGGTGGCGCAAGACTTATTTCCAAGCGATAAGTATTCTGCAATTTTCCCTATAACAATCCAACATGATTTGGATGACGTAGAAGATTCAATCACCGCAGAAAGTCACGATCAAATGGTATAATATTTAATTTAAATAATTTTACATTAATTTTAGTCCTGTCTTTATTTAGATTTCTAGCGTATTTAATTTAATTAAATCTGGGGGACTAAAATCCAACATACGCTCAATTTTTGCTGAGAAAATTGTAATGAATTACAATTTTGAGGGAAGGCAGCGGAAAAAATCTTTAAAAGCGTATCCAAAGCTGATGGATATTTTATTTCGTAAGTACCTTCTTTATATATATTCTATATAATGCATACGTGCGCTCGCTCCATTATATCTGCGTACACCCTTATTTTTTTAAACACAATGTTTTGCAAGCTATATACAAAATTAAGGAAAAATTAATGAATTTTCATCGAAATTTTAAACTTTTTACTCAGCTTTTTTGAGACAATTTCTGGTATGCAGTTTCATAGCCCATTCAATTTTGGTATAATAAAGTGCAAGTTTCAAGTGGCTTGAAAATACTTTTGATTTTTAATATTTTTTTTTTGCTGACGGCTCTAGGCATTTTTCTCCATACAAGGTATGAGCGAAGTATTTTTTATATGGAAGAGAATGCCTAGCATCGTCAACAAAAACAATTGTCAAAAATCAACGGTATTTTCGAGTCACTTGAAACTTGCACTTTATTATACTAAAATGGGCTATAAAACTGCATACCAGAAATTTTCTCAAAAAAGCTGAGTAAAAAGTTTAAAATTTCGATGAAAATTCATTAAATTTTCCTTAATTTTGTATACACTTTGAAACTTTGGTTTTGTTTGCAGCATGATCCGTATTTTTGTAAAAAAATATCAAAAAAATTATAACTTGCAAAACATTGTGAATGTTTAACAANTATAACTTTAAATAAATTGAGATTGACTGATTGATATTACAAGCAAACGCATAATATGGCTGAAATTAAAAAATTGACGAAATAATTTGCTGAGTTACAAGGTAAGAACGTTTTTGATATTTAAATTCTTATCATATCTACATATCAATACCCAATATCGGCAATTCTCACAAAAACTACTTTGTGATGTTAGAAGACATTTGGTACTTACCTGTCATCACTGGTGTTAATTCTGACTTTGCAATTTAATTTGTTAGAAGTGCAGATAGAGGGTATTGAATATAAGCCCTCGATATGTATGTGTGTACATATACTTATTTTACAATAATTTCAGAATCACTATTGGAACAAACCAGGCAAATACAGTCATTGAAGATACTAGTCATGGAGAAAAACTTTATGTTGGAAAACTTAAACTCGGAAATAGCTGCAATGAAAGGTATCTATCATAATAAACGAAATGTAAGAACATATCCACTCACTACAGCTTAAGTCGATAGTTTGACTTTAATGTAATGTTCCACATCCACACACACACACCCCACACAAATAACAGAAATAAGTTATGTCTTTAACTCAATATGCTGTTTATTTTACAGATTCCAATAAAAACGACATGGAGGTACTGAAAAACGTCTTATCTGAGCAAGTCGTACTATTAAAAAAGGTGGCGCAAGACTTATTTCCAAGCGATAAGTATTCTGCAATTTTCCCTATAACAATCCAACATGATTTGGATGACGTAGAATATTCAATCACCGCAGAAAGTCACGATCAAATGGTATAATATTTAATTTAAATAATTTTACATTAATTTTAGTCCTGTCTTTATTTAGATTTCTAGCGTATTTAATTTAATTAAATCTGGGGGACTAAAATCCAACATACGCTCAATTTTTGCTGAGAAAATTGTAATGAATTACAATTTTGAGGGAAGGCAGCGGAAAAAATCTTTAAAAGCGTATCCAAAGCTGATGGATATTTTATTTCGTAAGTACCTTCTTTATATATATTCTATATAATGCATACGTGCGCTCGCTCCATTATATCTGCGTACACCCTTGTTTTTTTAAACACAATGTTTTGCAAGCTATATACAAAATTAAGGAAAAATTAATGAATTTTCATCGAAATTTTAAACTTTTTACTCAGCTTTTTTGAGACAATTTCTGGTATGCAGTTTCATAGCCCATTCAATTTTGGTATAATAAAGTGCAAGTTTCAAGTGGCTTGAAAATACTTTTGATTTTTAATATTTTTTTTTTGCTGACGGCTCTAGGCATTTTTCTCCATACAAGGTATGAGCGAAGTATTTTTTATATGGAAGAGAATGCCTAGCATCGTCAACAAAAACAATTGTCAAAAATCAACGGTATTTTCGAGTCACTTGAAACTTGCACTTTATTATACTAAAATGGGCTATAAAACTGCATACCAGAAATTTTCTCAAAAAAGCTGAGTAAAAAGTTTAAAATTTCGATGAAAATTCATTAAATTTTCCTTAATTTTGTATACACTTTGAAACTTTGGTTTTGTTTGCAGCATGATCCGTATTTTTGTAAAAAAATATCAAAAAAATTATAACTTGCAAAACATTGTGAATGTTTAAAAAACAAGGGTGTACGCAGGTATAATGGAGCGAGTGTTTGTATGTATATATGTTCCTAGGTATGTATATACTCCTCTGATAATATGATCTATATTTTTTATTTAATAGGAGCTTCACAAAAGCTGGGGAAAGACCAAAAAGAATTCGAGGCAGATCTTAAATTTGGTTTGAAAGCTGTGAAAAATAAGTACCATAAAGCCAATACTCTAAGGAGAAAACTTCAGCACAATAAAAACAACGAGAAAGAGGAAACTGAAGAAGACGAAGAAAACGAAGAATCATATAGTTCGGAGTAAACATTATTTATTAGTTTACTTGATTAAATTTATGTTATCTTACTAATGAATTTTTTTCCAATTGACTGAATTGATTTCGGAGAAATATTTTGAGTGGCCCATAAGCAAAAAAAAAAATATCCAGAAGTCAATGCGCTTTTTAAGCAACTTCGAACATGCACTTTATTTACCACCACTATGTGGGCTACAAAAGTGCATACTCAAAATAATTCTCTGAAATATTATTAAAACGCCCGAAGTTTTTACGAAAGTTGGTTGATTCTTTTTAAAATATTGCCCAAAGTTCGAATTTTGAATTTATGCGGTTTTTGTTAAAGACTAAACTATATTCCTATAACAAAATAAGTTAAATAACAAAAAAATGAGTTGCTTACACTTGTCAATATGTGGTGCGCTTATACATAATTACAACGCAGTGTTTTCTGGAACGCAACTATTATTTGGTTTATTTTACAATTTCCAACACTGCACAAGTGTTTCAACAGCGTATGAACTATTTTTTATGTAGTTTTAATTTGTTTAATTACACGATGCTATAGTGACAATGTGGTATTCCAAACATTTTTGTATTTTTAGCACTGTGTTATCACATACATGTATAGTATGTAAGCCTATCAAATTTGCAAGACTGAATATTTCCTATATTTTGTATTATTTTTCAATATACATTCAATCAATAAAGTTTAGGTACAGAGAGTTTTTTTCAATACGGGAAAAAGTTAGCGATAGATAAATTATTTAAAAAACAATTGCCCGTATTGCCAAAAACTCTCTGTAACTAAACTTTATTGATTGACTGTATACAAGATGCGCCTCAACTGAATTTAAAGGAAAATTTCGATTACTAAAAATGGCTTTGTGTATTCTGAATCTAGATTTTTTCTAATTTATTTTATAACAAAATTAAAAAAATCATTGGATAGCTTTTTGCAAAAAAATCATTTTTATTATTTAAAAAAAAATAATTTTGACTTATTCTAAAAAAATCTACCAAAAATCCAGTTTGGCAGCTACATATTCCCGATTAGACGCATTTTGTGCACTTATTATATATTATCTAGCTTATATAGATTATCTAGCTTCCAAGCCCAATTTTTGATAGATTTTTTAAAATTTAAATTCAGTTCAGGCGCTCTGTGGATAACGCAAGCACCTTATCAGTACAATTTAGAAACTTGTAATAAATGTGTAACATTAGATCAAAAAATACTTTATAATTTCTGCGTTTGCTTCTCAGTAATCAAAAGATCAAGGTCTTCTATAGCTGCTTCTCAGTTTATTAGTAATGAAGGCTTTCTGCGTTCACTTCTCTACAATGGAAAGAGCAAGGTATTCTTCGGTCGCTTCTCAGTCCACAAAATCGAAGCCTTTGTACGTTCGTTTCTAAGTAAGCGAGAGCGCATGCAATTCTTCATTCGTTTCTCGGTGCATCAATACAGCAAGACCTTTCACTTCCGCTTCTGAATGGTAAAATAGCAAGGCGTTACCGCCAATGACATGCCTAGGTTAAATCAATGCCTTCTGGAAGTGAGAGTAGAACCGATTGGTAACCATTTTCTCGATTCCAAGTTCACTTCTGGGGTAAGTGAGTTTTTTGCTGGGATGTTCAATCAGTGATCGCTGTTTAGCTCAAATACGTTTATGTGTGTATGTATGTGGTATAGCGCAGTCACGTCGCTCATTCACATCTCTTTTGCCTTTGTGAGCTCGTGTTTGATCGGCACTGATGTACAGATTTTTCGCGTAGCTATGCGCTGTATTCGGCAACCAAATAGGCTTATGCTTGTAACTTTTTGTAACTTAACACCCAAAAAAAGGGTGCTTATCTTCCAAGAATAAAAAATATAAGTATGCCACTCTGCGTCTTTTTACAAATGCTTCGTTTAAAAAAAAAAAAAATATTAAAATCGGTCTAGTACTCGTTACAAACGTACTCCATATAATCAATTTTATATAATAGTATAGATGTACATATATATTTCGAATGAAAAAAAAGCATCATGAAAGTAGTAAACGTTTTGAATTTGCATTAACAAAATCGGTTCATAAATAGGTCTTTTATGGGGTCCGTTTTTCGCAAATGCTTTTTGAAGTGAAACTTCTTTAGCTTCGGTTGGTTGGTTGGGAGTAAATTGGAAAATTCAACGGAAATTGCACACGGAAATGGTGCAACGGAAATGGTTGGGGCTCAAACAAGTGCTTCTTGTGTACATGGTATTAATTTAACAAAAATTTGCTAATAAAAGGTTAAAGAATAACACTTAGAAAAAGACCAATACAACAATGAAAGTAAAGGTGACTACGTACATAGATAAAGAAAAGGATAATGGCAAAGGTAAAAATGAAAACGAAAACAAAGAGGCGTAAAAATAAAGGCAAACATTAAAACCAAGGTAAATTTAAACACTTTACTTATATACGGGCAAAGCTGGAAGGAGAATATGTAGATGAAGAAAATGATAAACAAAAAAGTAAAAACAAAGATGAGGATCAGGATACCGATAAAAGTAAAGATGAAGATAGGGGAAGAAAGATTAAAATAAAGGTTATTAAAGCGGAAAGGATATAGAGAGAGAGACACAGAGACTCAATCTGGGAACTATTTTGGGATTTTAGAGATTATCGGGATTCTCGAAACTTATTAATAAAATAATCGATATTTTTATCGGTTTTGTTATCGATATTTTTATCGATTTTGTTATCGAAATTGTTATCAATTTTGCCATCGATATTTTCGGAACTTATCGATATAATAATCGATATTTTTATCGATTTGTTATCAACTTTGTAATCGATATTTTTAACTATTTTGTTAGCGATATTTTTTATCAATTTTGATATCGATATTTATCGATTTTGTTAGCGAAACTTATCGATTTTTTTATCAATTCTTTTATCGATATTAATGCATTTTGCTATCAATATTTATCGATTTTGTTATTGATATTTATCGATTTTGTTATCGGTATTTATCGATTTTGTTATCGAATTTTTTATCGATTTTGTTATCGATAATTTTATCGATTTTGTTGTCGATATTTTTCGATATTGCTATTGATATTTATCGATATTGCTATTGATATTTATTATTGAACTGACCATGTATATATATCGTTTGTTAAAAAAATTTGTTATTGAATTGCATAGTTCAAATTAACATTAGTGATGACAGCTAAGCACAAGATGGGTTCAACATCGGAAAGTAGTTTTTCTGAAAATTGCAGATAGCTTTTATTGAATATAAGCCCTCGATATATTTATTATGACACAAGATATTGATTAGATATGTAACGTAAGTTTCACTTCTACTGTGTGGCCCAGGCACACGTACTTTTCTTCATCACGCAGGTAGCTTATACTTTGAATTTGAACGAAATCGGTTATAAATAACTCGACTCCCGCACCACCTAGCGGGTCTATTTTTGGTAAACGTATTTTCCATCATGCTGGTAGCTCACATTTTGAAGTTAAAAGAAATCGGTTCATAAATACGATTTTTATAAATAAATCGACTCCAGCGCTACCTAGCGGGTCTATTTTTCGCATACGTATTTCTCATCATGCAAGTAGCACACGTTTTGAATTTGAGCGAAATCGGTTTATAAATATCTCGACCCCAGTGCCGCCTAGCGAGTTTTCTGGTAGCCTATAATAGGACCATATATGCAAGGTATACCTCTGAAAATTTTACTGAAATCTATGCAGTAGTTTTTGAGTTAACTCCGAACAACGAAAACGGCTATTGCTTTATATATATAGATAGATTATACATATTTTGTTCGGAGTTGAAGTTTCCCTACATATACAACACGATAGTATACGATACTATCGAAAATATCGATAGTATTTTTCAAACTAACGAATGGCGTCACTATCGATAGTTTTGCAGATCTAGGCTGCGGTAATACTGACTGTTCCTCATATACACAATACGCCATCGTTTGTACTTTGCTCCGATATGAGTAGATTTGTTCCGTTTTGTCGAAATAATTTGAAACCTCTACTCCGCTCAACTGAAAATCTGCTCCGTTTTGTTGCATCAAAAAATTTACTCTTCGAACAGAAATAACAAATTAAAAGTTATATTTGACCTTTTTATCGACACGATTGTTACATTGGTGAACTACAGCAACTTTGCAAATACACTTGAATTCGGGAATAGGCCCTCACAATCGCCCGATTTAAACCCGATCGAAAAAGATTGCTCTATCTAAAGTTCTGTAATTGCGTCGTTGCCCACCGATGTAACAATTGTCCCGGTAAAGAAAGAATGAAGTAACTTTTTATTAATTTTAACCAAGGCATTTTAACTTTAATGATAATTGCTCGCTGGATTAAGGCGCCTTTACACGGGTCGATTTTCTAGTAGATTTTTGTCGTTCAACCAAAATCGACCCGTATAAATGACATCTCAACCGTAAAATGTAAATGCTTTGGCTAGTCGATTTTCTAGTCTACAGAAATGGACCCTTGTAAAGGCAGCTGTAGCCCCTTATTTAGTCCTAGAATACAGTGATACAAGGAGAAATGAATTGTTTTTTATAAAGATAAGAAATGCACATCTACTACGAAAACTTGATTTTTACTCCCATTTTCGGAGTCCGAACCCAGCAAAGAGCGCTCGATAAAGGTCAGCTAGTGATCAGTATTGCCAAGCTTTTTATTTAAAAAAGCAGGAAAACACTGACAATAGCGCAATTTTCCCAAAAAAAACACCAAATTTGTGTTGCTGTGTTTAATGGTATTTTTTTTGCATATAAAGCTGTATGTTCAAATATTTTAAGTAATCACGCAATGTCACTTGTAAATATTTCCAACTATGCGCAGTTAATCAATTTAATTAATTTAATTAGCAAAATGTTTTTTTATTCGTAAAACAATTTGCAAAACTTTACTTGGTTTCTCTAGCGGCTTTATTTTCATGTAATTGCTTACTTTTGTACAAATGCGCACATCCAGCTAATTAGCAGAATATTCTATGAATTCCGTGATAGAGATTGTGTGAAAATATTGCGTTTGCATTATTTGGGAGCATATTATCCTGAGGAGAAGCTCGGCCAAACACTAACATATGTGTAAGTCAACGGATAAAGTTTTCCGTACGTTTGGAATGAATAAATCAATTAACAAAATAAATACAATGTCACCGTAGAATCACGTTTTTATTATAAAATTACCTTGAAAAGGGCACCAAAGATCGAAACAAGCGCTAAACTAAAAATTTTCGCGTTTTAGTTCCCTAAACGCACTTAATTTATTGCGAAAGGCACAAAGTTGGCAACAGTTATAGCGGTGTCAAATTTCCTCATATACAATCATGGACAGAGAGTGACCACCTGCTTAAAGAGCCAGCAAGTGTTACGCAAGAGGTAAAGCAGTTCTCAGGGTAAAGAGGGTGTGAAAAATACATTACATCATACACCCCCACTTTCATGATCTTCATCGCACAGCAGCTGCGGAAATACTAAAGGCTCTGTTATGCATACTTGGCAGTGCATGCACTGCTATACCATTTTTACGTAGAAATCAAAAACCAACAGACTTCTACGTATGTACTGCTGTGCGTTGGATAACCGCTTACACGCGGAGCTCATTTAACCGATTTCTTATGTGATAACTCTCAAGCCATGCCAAGTATGCATAACAGAGCCTTTACAGTCAACAGCAAATTCAGCATCTCTCAAAAACGAAAACAATTATCATAAAAACATACATGAGCCGTGATGGACACTACCACAAAAACCACGAGCTAAAAGTGAGCATACTTGCACTGCTTTACCATTTTTACGTAAAAATTCTACATAGAGCGCACAGAAATGAGCACCACTTTGACACTGAATCACTCACCAAAAAGGGGTTGTGTTGGAATTTTTTGTGACATTTGGTACTTTTAAGATAATCACGGTGGAGAGAATACAGAAGGTGGCGCCGATCGCAATACCGCTAATCGGCTCTCAGTGAATTTGACAGAATCAGCTGTTTTGCTGGCGTCACAGTCGAGTTGACAGCAGTAGTGATGTGCTGAATCAATACTTTCAAGTATTGATCGATATTCGGTACCGATTTAAAAAGTATCCAATACTCTCGATACTCGGTACCGAAACATTTAGATTTTGAATAAAAGCGCACACAGGCCAAAGATATGGAAAAAACGGCTCAGGGGAGACTCGCCTATCAAAACCCGAATGAAGGAGCCAATACAGCTTTTAATACTGACACCGTCAGCAAAAAAAGATAAACATTAAGTAAACAAAAAATATAAATAGCCAAAACTGGTAAATATGTCACTTAACTTAAACAGCTGACCGTAAGTGCATATAACATGTTTATAAATTTATTTATTTGAATCTACCACACCGATACTCGGTACCGAAACATTTAGGTTTCGAATAAAAGCGCACATAGGCCAAAAATATGGAAAAAACGCCTAACAAAACCCGAATGTAGGAGCCAATAGAGCTTTTTTACTGATTCAAATGAAAGATGTATATATGTCGGTTCGAGGCCATAACGCAGAGAAACTCTTACTTGTTTGAAGCATTTTTGTTCCAGCTGAATCGGACGATATCATTTTTGGAGGCCTAAGGGCAGATTCTATAACCAGCTAGCGACAATTTTCGAATCGGTATCGGT